GAGCACTGGGTGTTATACGCAAACAATGAATCATGGAACACTACATCAAAAACTAATGATGTAATGTATGGTGATTAACATAACATAATAAAATTTAAAAAAAAGAAGAAAAGAAACCAATTCCTAAGTCCTTTACATTTCCTCCAAACTCCAAAGAGCCCCAGTCACCCAAAGGATCCATTACTAGTGGTGACATATAAAACATGAACAACAAAGGAACAACTAAAAACTTCTGTCTTGGAGTTACATGTTTATTTCTACCTCTACCTTACATAGCGAGCTCCAAAATAGTGGAATTCTATCTTTCCAGCTCACTGCTTTAACACAGAAACTAAAGAAATTAGATTTCCCCATAGCTCATCTTTGGGAACCCTATTCATCAACCAGACAAAGTTCATGTATATTCTCCTGAAATGTCCTGTTTGTTACAGTTTCTTTCCATTTGTTGATTTTATTCTGTTCATGCAGATTGCCTTCTCACAAACACTCACTGGTTGAAATCCTAACACATTTCAGAAGGCACCACTATAATCTTAAACTCACTCGTGATTTTCCCAGAATACTTGGTTTCAGCTTTCCCTCTCCTGAATTCCATGACAACTTTCCTGAGTTTCTTGTTCCAGTCTTCCATGTTATAGATTTTTAGTGTGCTGATTATATCCCCTTTCCAAGGGGGAGGTTCTGAGTTGTCCTTATCAATTCATCATTTGGTGTATTGAGTGTTCAATCTCTTAAAGAACAAACGAGTCAGAAAACTGGCAATGAGCTTTATTAAAATCTGCTGTAAGGTCATTCTGGAGGTCAAGGAATCAGAAGGGAGAAGATGTGGACCTCTTCATCTTACTTTATTGGAATAGGGTGAGAAATAAAGGAAAAGAAAATTATACTTGATTTATGTAGAATTTGCCTTGGGTCTTGAATAATTTTCTATAGGTATATCCTCATCTTGAGGGAAAGTCATTGCATATGTCCTTGGCTTTGGAGGAGGTGGCTTTGTAATTTTTCTACGTGCTTCCAATTCCACGATATTGAGGCAACAATATCTCCCATTTTCACATAGTACTTGACGTATTTCACTTATTCTGCATATTTTCCTGCAATATCCATGTATATATTCACCCCAGCATCTCTTAAGTTGTTCAGTTACTGTGCATATAAAGAACAATAGGCCAAGATCAGTGTTTGAGACTAAAAGGCAACTTTGGTAATGGGGAAGACAGACGATGTTTATGGGGGTTACGTGTATGGGAGATCCACAGGCATATACTCATAAGATCCTATGGAGGATGCTCCAAGAAGGTAAACCTCAGTGTTTATGTCCAACTGATCACTCATATTTATTTCCTCCTGGGTTTTGGGCTTCCATCTAACATCTGGTGGATTCCTCCAAGAGCATCAGATCTTGCTTGGGAAAATAAAGGAACTGAATCTTTGATTTCAGGCTATGGAACTATATACTCCATCTGGGAACCTCAGCACATCTGTCTCCATTTGAATGCTCCCAGGGCACTACTTCTTTACCACTGCCCCACCTCTAGTGCCCAGAGAATAACAATTTGTTCCTATGTATTTATAACTGAGTCAGATTATGCTCTTGGGTTCATACTCACTACCATGGTCAAGAATGACTGTCTTATTGTCTAGTCAGGTATTTTTTCTCTCAATAATCTTCCTCCCCTATTAATTCACAGCATTGCACATTTTTGCCACTGCATATCTTCCTTTGGCTTCTATGTCATCACAATAATCTTGGACTTGTTTTACCCCTCTATGAGTCCTCATTCTCCTTCCACCTCTAGAGGCAAGAAGTTCTCCAGTGTTCAGTCCCAGAACTTTGCTCACCTTGATATATATTCTTTCCTTTAGTGATCCTAAATACTTTCAGTGATCTACAGAGTTAAGATGTTCAGATTTTGGCTTCTGGGCTTGCACAATCCCCTGAGATAGACCCTCAATGGACTCCACCAAGAGCATCCGGTCTTGTTTGCTGAGGCCAGCAAAGATGCTGCCTCCCACCCCAGATTCTAGAACTCCTTTGATTCTTAGGACTTTGAGGGGCCAGGGACAGACCATTACTAATCCTAGAAGAAGAGTCAAATATGATAGATCTGCTTTTGAAAAAGGAAGGAAAACTAATTTTTAAGTTCTTAGTATGTGCCAAGCCTTATGCTAGATGTTTTACAAATGTTATTTAATAAAGCCACCAGGATCCATGTATCATTACCTCTACAAATGAGGACTCTGAGGCTCAGAGAGTCTTTACTGTTTATCTGAGGTTGACAAACTAGTAGACATTGAAAGCATATTTCTCAAATCTGACTCCAAAGTTGGTGCTTCTTTCACTATTCACACTCTGTAGACTAAAATATATATCGGAGTGGAAGAAAATATGGCTGGGTGTCAGTAAAAACTGTATCCAAAAAAATAAAGGCATTCCTAGATATTGGGCCCATTCTTTTCTATAATGAGACCTTCCCAGAGGAAAATTATGGCCACTTTTCAACTCTGTAAATACTTCTTTTTAAGAACAGTACTATGGTTTAAAAAAAAAAAAAAAGAACAGTACCGTGGTAGAAGGCATCAGGAAGAGGAAATTTCTGGTGACGTTGGGTAGACTTCAGGCATCCCAAGGGGCCCTATCTCCTACTACCATGAATTATGAAATTCCCTTTGTTCTTGGAAATACTCTATCCCATTGTTGGCTTGAGCAAGCCCCTGGAAAGTTCTGGATTACCTTTGGACTTCTGTAACAGCAGAATTGCAATGATCAGGAGGAGCTTCATGGCCAGGCTTCCCAAAGGAGGTGGCAGCCAAAGCTCTTTGTCCAGTGAGTTGCACACCATGTCACCTTCCTCAGAGACTTGGATTCTTATGCACCAAACTAGAACAGATGGTATGATATGAAGTGTGTTCCCAAATGTCTGAACTGTGGACTTTGCACCGTGTGGGCAGGCACAGGAAATTTGAGGTTATCCACTTTACCCCCACATGGAATTAGGAGACACAGCGTGTTCTATCTCATCCTATCTGATGCCTTCTTTAGGCTGTAGACTACTGGTGAGAATAATCTGGCTTTCTCTACTTTGGCTGTCTGCCCTGCTAGACCAGGGTAGACATGTGTTCACTTCTAAGTATGAATAAAGTAATATAAATAATGAAGGCTGTTCCATTTACTGCGTTCATCTAAGTCTAGGATCTCTGGGTGTTGTGTCTATCACTTCAGTCCATCCAAATGGTAGCTGATTTTCATCCCCACATCCTAGATAAGTTTAATTACTCACAGACAAGCAATATACAATGATAGGGGAATAATAGGATAACTAAAATACAATTTCATTTAGAATCAGCAAGGAGGAGAAAAGACAGAGATAACATAGCATATATAGCATCATCCTGATGGACAACAGCAAGGATTTCTTTCCTGTCAGTGTAGAGAATTCTTCAGTTTGTATTCTTTCTGTTCTGCTATCTGGGAAGGTGTCTCTTGTCCATTAATCTCAGTGGACATTTTTCTTGGAAGAGGTTGGGGGAGAATTCTTCTGAGGGATGTGCTACTTTAGCAGCACATTTTCTATTAGTGTAGGTTTAGAAAACTATACAAATGATTTTGTTACCCAGGCTTTGATTTCTATGGCATATTATCTCTTTTTGAAAGATAACACACTTTCCTTTGAGTTGCTTTCAGTCACTTTCATGTCTAAGACCAATCAACAAATCATTTTGAATCAGGAAATTCATTTTAGATCCCAACCAGGGCACTGATATCTACAGAACAAGCTTTTGGAGATTATACCAACTCTATACCATCTCTAAGCTCATCCCTTAACTTCACCTCTCATTCAGGCCCTGGCTGTAAGCAGTTCAATACAGTAGCATCGGGACAGTGTGGATGAACTAATTCAGAGTGATCACCATGAATTTATAGTGGTATCAATGTACATTTTTGTGTAATGCCACCAGCAACACTTGTCTATCTAAATTTAGAAATGTACACAACAAATAATTGCATTAATGCAGGGTTGTGGTGTACCCAAGGAATTAAAGGACTGACAGAAGAACAAAGGAGTCCTAGTTACTGGCTAGAGAGCTATTGAAATAGATCATGGACTCTTTTCTCGATATATAGAGAAGTATAAACAGTGTGGCTAATAAATTGATCTTTGAATTTTGACAATGAGTTTATTTTTTAAAAAAATTTTTTTTATTTGAGAGAGAGAGAGAGCATGTGCGAGTGGGGGGAGGGGCAGAGGGAGAGGAATAGAGAGAATCCTCAAGGATATTCCTCACTGAGTATGGAGCCCGACTTGGGGCTCAATCCCACTACCCTAAGATCATGACCTGAGCGGAAACCAAGAGTTGGTCGTTCAACCAACTGAGCCATCCAGGTGCCCCTAAAGAGTTTATTTATATTAACAAAATGTATTGCCTGTGCAATGGAGAGAACATTCTGTATCTAATATGCACTATGTTTCACCAATTCCTTGATTAGAAAACTCACATTCTTTTGTTCCACAGATAACATTAAGACTGCATCTTGGAAAAAGTGGTATCTCTATACTCCCACTTTAGTAATGTGTGTGTGCTTGTGTGTGTGTGTGTGTGTGTATGTGTATGTCTTTTCTGTCCCCTGCTGCCAGAGGGTCTATGAGTCTGATCTCCTAGACTGATTCCATAGAGAGTCTTCCTTTCCCCAAATCCTCCTAGGGCTAAACAGTAGGTGTTCTCATGAGCAAGATGGGATGAATAAAGAACATGATGTTTCTTAGGAAAACATCCACTGGGACTTTTAAAAGTACAATTTGTTTTAATGTACTACTTATAAAAGGACAGGAGTGTAATATATTTCTGGATAACTCACCCGCCATGCTCTATTGAGTTGAGGAGTTAGGAGAGCAAATTATTTGATTATTTAAATGGGTCGACCAGGAAAGTTGTGTTTGTTTGCAAGATTAAAAATTTTTTCTTTTTATGTCAATTAAAAATAGTATTTGAAAAGTAGTTTTATTGTACAACATGTGCATTATTAACAAGAATCAGGAAATACAAAAGCAAAGATAAGAAAGGAAGCAACCAGTAGCATTACTACTGTCTAAAGAAAACATCTGGACACATGTATACCATTTAAAATTTTTTCTTTAGTAGAATGAAAATTATTTTATTGTTTAACCCAAATACCAGCTTATGAGATTTTCCTGATTAACAGGAAAGATATGGCAAAACTGTCTCAAACTTACATCAATTACATGGCTTTTGAGAGTCTAGAATCCTTCAAATCTCTCCTAGTTCCAGAGATGTGTACATTCTCAGGGATATACTGGTCTTCAGAATTCTCTATCTTCATTTGCTTACTCTTACTTGCACCATATCCATCCTCCCTGATGCAAAAGTCTTCCTTAACTACCCCCCCCCAACAAAAACCACACATACTAAGCATTTTGGAATTTATCAAAATGTGTACAAGAGTTTAGAAAGGAGGGTTACTGAGAAGGTGATTATTTGGCAGTAACAAGCAACTTTCAAAAGGGCTGGAAGACATCATTGATCTTAAATTAAATTTCTTCATCATACTAATGATGAGTTTTCCTGGTTTCACCTACTCTAAGCTTCTTAATAGCTCACTGGCTTTTTTTTTTTTAATTTTATTATGTTATGTTAGTCACCATACAGTACATCATTGGTTTTTGATGTGGTGATCCACGATCCACTGTTTTCGTATAACACCCAGTGCTCCATGCAGTACGTGCCCTCCTTAATACCCATC